GGTGGGTAGCCATGTTGGTCTGAAGCGGTAGAACAATGTTTGCGTCCAGGGGCACCTTTAAGGCCAACAGAGTTTTATTTCAAGGGATAAGTTTTTGTGTGCATGCACACTTCTTTAGATACAGTGAATTGGGGTCAGGTCTAAATATGCAAATAGAATGAGGTGGATTCAGGTGGGTAGCCATATTGGTCTGAAGCAACAGAACAATGTTTGCGTCCAGGGGCACCTTTAAGACCAACAGAGTTTTATTCAAGGGCGCGCACACTTCTTCAGGTACACTGAAATGGACGTTACCAGTCAGGTTACCCACCCGAATCCATATGGTACAGTGTAGCTCTATTGCCTTCCTAGAGAATCTAAAACCCCCCACGGCCGCCTTCGGTTCTGAAACCCAACACATCCCTCTTTCTGCACAGAAGGGGTTTGATGCGTTTATTTGCCTCCCGCCACATCAGGTAGATTCTCAGGTGTTATGCCAATAAAGGTTTGTTGTGCTGTGGGTTGATTCTCAGGCATAGGACAGGAAGCATCTTTCTTGACTTTTGGGCGACGGGCCAGCCTATAAGGACACTTTTCGTAACTGCTGAGCCGTAGCAAGGAGGGAAAGTGGGGATAATCTGTTTGACGGGGAAATCGAAGGGAGAGCGGCTGGCGGGGACCCTGGCGGAGAGCTCCGAACGGACCGGAGGGCAGGGCCGAGAATGGGAACGGGTGACCCTCTGGGTCAGCTAACGCCGGAGCAGATGGCGGCGACTCAGAAAGGAATTTGTTTAATTAAAATGTGCCGAGTGGGCTGCAGGGCAGGATCTCATGCTCATCTGTTCCTGGCATCTCAGCCAACGGTCAGCAGTTTATTGACAGCGCATTTCGCGGTTCACACAGCCGGTAGGGTTGCCAGCTTTGGGTTGGGAAATCATTGGAGATTTGGGGGTGTAGGGGTTTGGTGTCGTGGTTAAGTGCGCGGGCTCTAATCTGGGAGAACCGGGTTCGATTCCCCACTCCTCCCCTTGCAGCTGCTGGATGACCTTGGGCAAGCCATAGTTCTGGCACAGCTGTCCTTGAAAAAGAGCAGTTTCTATCAGAGCTCTCTCAGCCCCATCTACCTCACAGGGTTGTCTGTTGTGGGGAGGGGAAGGAGATTGTAAGCCCCTCTGAGACTCCTTTGGGTAGTGAAGGGCGGGGTATAAATCCAATCTCTTCTTCTTCTTCTGGATGACCTTGGGCAAGCCATAGTTCTGGCACAGCTGTCCTTGAAAAAGAGCAGTTTCTATCAGAGCTCTCTCAGCCCCATCTACCTCACAGGGTTGTCTGTTGTGGGGAGGGGAAGGAGATTGTAAGCCCCTCTGAGACTCCTTTGGGTAGTGAAGGGCGGGGTATAAATCCAATCTCTTCTTCTTCTTCTGGATGACCTTGGGCAAGCCATAGTTCTGGCACAGCTGTCCTTGAAAAAGAGCAGTTTCTATCAGAGCTCTCTCAGCCCCATCTACCTCACAGGGTTGTCTGTTGTGGGGAGGGGAAGGAGATTGTAAGCCCCTCTGAGACTCCTTTGGGTAGTGAAGGGCGGGGTATAAATCCAATCTCCTCCTCCTCCTCCTTCTTCTTCTCCCCCCTTCCCCCGAGGACAGACCACCGCAGGATATAATGCCATGGAGTCCACCCTCCAAAGCAGCCATCTCCTCCAGGGGAAGCCATCTCCGTAGTCTGGAGACCGGGTTGTAGTTCTGGGAGATCTCCAGGCCCCGCCTGGAGACTGAGTAAAGGTGGAAAAACACCGTGTCCCAACAAAACACACAGTGCTGATATGCTG